GGTATGCTGAATGCAGCACTGGTTCAAATTAGATGTTTGTGATGTCAAAATAATAAGTCTATATTTTCATACTAATTAGAAACTCAAATTAACAATATTGACAAGGTAGAATATAAAATAAGAACCTCATATCTTTTCTATTAGCCGAGATATCTCTCATGTACTGAATCGAACACAGTGGCCCCACTCACCTCTTTCCATTTTTGGAAATGGTCCCTTATATACACTTACTTCAATATACAAGATGAGACGTGAATAACCAACTGACATCTCAGAATGTTCCCCTAGTGGCTTTCTCAGCCATTTTAAAGTGTTAGTACACCATCTCTTTCTTTTGAGCCAAAATTTCAAGGAGGTAGATTGTATCTTTAGTCTGCTCGAAATTTCATATTTGTTTAGACTGAAATACAGCTTAGTTACTAAGTTTGATAAATTATAGTGAAATTCTATGGTACTGATATAGTAATTTATGACTTTTTGGTTATTCAACTGTAAATATAAAACCTAAAAAAATTTATTTTGTTTCATATCCTTCATGTGCAAAATTTTAAAAGGCTTAGCAACCTACGTCAAGCAGCAACCAAGTGCAAAAGTTGTAACTAGAAGAAATAATTGGTTGCTTTACTTCTTTATTTACTGTTCTATGTTTTAAGAAAAATAAGTTTAAGAATTTATTTCAAAATAGCAATAATCTATATACATATATAATGTATAATAATTGAAATGCGACTGTATTTTACAAAATACTAGTCTACGAAAACACAGCCAAGACAGGTCACTTTGTACAAACTAAAGGCTAAAGGTCAGTTTTATATTATTGGATATGGTAACATGAGTGCCCATGTGCCACGTCACTATAACTTCTCTATTGTTAGCCAGACATGGCTTAAAGGTCAATGTAATAAAAATAATATATATATACGTATAATGTTATGAGATTTCAGCTATTTAGTCTAAACATTTATGTTTTTGTGTTATAATTTGTTGTCATTCTAGAACAAAAGAGGCATAATTTATATTTATTTCCCAATTTTTTATGGTGGTTACAAGATAGTTCAAATCCACCAAACCTGTACTGAGATTCATTAGTGAAAATAACAGATAAAGTATAATGTTTTTTCTTAAGAAATGTTTGATAACTATCTGGAAATTATAAAGATTTCACATGTGAAATTTGAAAATTTTCTGATGCATAAGAACTTTTTAATCTTAAAATGATCTTAATCTTAATGATCTTAATGATTTTTAATCTTATAATCTGTAAAATTTGCACCAAAAGAAAACTTTACCAGGTCCAGCATCACTGGTGTCGAAAGATATCTTTTTTTCTTCACCAGCAACCAGACTAATACGACCATCTTCATCCAACAAGTTTTCCCAGCCTCCTATTGCTCTAACTTTGTTGGGGTTAACAACACGAGGATGATACGGACTTCCTTTAACACAGAAGACATAATTATTGAAAGTGATAATAATAACAGTACAAATGATAATTGTACAATGAGCATTATCATACTCAGCTTGGGCGCTATAGAGATAACATCTGAACACCAAAATATTGTTAATTTGTTCAAAGATGCTCTTAAGATAATGAGGTGGATATTTCTTGTTCATTAAAACAACATACCAGCAACCTCAGAAAAGCCTGTTACAGCAATAAAGTGACCATGAGAAGTTCTATCGGATTAATGATAAGCAGAAAAAACTTTTAGGAAGTAAAAATCACTTTGGATTAAACCAAGCAGTTCAATGCAGGTATAAGAAACTTAAGAACACAGCAACTTTAGAAACAACAACATTTTCTATTGCTATGACTAAATTCTACTCTAATAGTTATTATAAAGTGAGATGTGTTTTCATAAACTGTACATTATCACCAATTCTACCCATATAAAAAGACTGATAAATACCACTAGCAACTAATTAGTGGAAGTAGTCTTTCTAATATGAAAAAAAAGAGATTACAATAAAAACTAATAATCAATGACACAAATCTGCTAATACTGCAAAGCTGGGGCTCATATGCATAATATCACACCTATAACACTGAGGTAATCAAAGAAAGATAAATGTCTTTAATGGTACTAAGCTATTGCTATTGCCAATAGTAGTTTTACCTGGAAGTTCCCTGCCATTCCATAGGACTCTAACATCAAATATTCCCACCTCTTGTGGAACATAGCTTACAATAAATATTCCATCTTCTTCTTCTTCTATAGTGCACTCAGCTTCCGTGTCAGGACCTAAAATGAAAAAGAAAAAATATTCTAAATTTAATACACATGTAAATCTCTAGAAGGTTAAACATGATAAAGTAACTGCTCAGAAAAACAAAAACAAAATTTGTAATTGACAAAGACAAATGTTTCTTTCAGCCAAAATTTCTGCTCATCAAAATACTGTCAATATTACTAAAATACTGCAAAAAAATATAGTGTTGCACAGAATGAGTCCTTTAAACATGTAAATAAAAATGGCAAACTAGAGAACAGAATAAAATCTGTAACTATGCTTTAGTCACTGATGATGAAAAATACTTTAAACCTAAAAATATATCATCCCATGTATAACCCTTAATTCTGTATAATTTTGTAGCATTACAAAAAAAAGTAACATTTACCCAGACATATAAAAATGAAAACTCTGATAAGGTATGATATGGGTGACATGTATACATTAAAATATATGTTAAACTATTGATATTGTATTTTAAAAGCAACCAGTACATTATTATTATTATTATATACACACTGCTAACTTACCATCTACTCTGGCCTCAGGTCTTCCAGTAAGTCCACGAGCATCAACTTTAAACGTTGCATTAACATTGACACTTGCAGTTATCAATCCTTTTCCTTCAACCTTTGGTGTTCCTCCTTCCTGAGCAATGAAAATTACTGGACTTCCTGTAAGGAGAAAAGTGAAACTCCAATGGTAACTATGATACTTAATAACACCCAACATGATGCTGCTTGGGTGGAAAAGTATGGAAGGAATTGCACTGTTGTTATGCCTCTTTTGAAGGAAAGATAAAAAAACAACTACCATTAGAAAGTAATAAATAGTATGTAATTTATTTTACTGCATTCATTTAACCATAACAACTGAGGTTCAAAACATCCAAGTAAAGTGCTATACATTTGTAAGTTACATAAATCAGTAATTTCTAACAACATAATTTTTACTATACTTATAACATAAAGGTTCCTTTAGAGGAGAAAAACATGCACGAAATTTTAGAAGAGTATGCATGGTCATCACTAGTTAACTATATTTACCATAGAGTTTTGAAGTCATACTGAATATCACTACACCACAGAAGTTGAAAAAGAAAAAAAAGATGTCATATTTAATGGGTATTTTAAACAAAAAACACCAAAGGTTTAATGCACAGCAGATAATATCACACACCTGGCACCTCAACTCCACCATAAGTAATTCCTATTTTGTATTTTCCTGGCACTGTTGGCATAAATTCAATCACTTCACCTTCTCCATCTGAAGTTCCTTTCACTTCTATTGGTAGATGTCGGCCTAAAGGACTGGTCACTGTGACATCAAGTTCAGCATATCCTGCTTCTTGTCGAGTTACTAAACAAAAAGTGATCCAAGTTTACATTATTATTTCTGACAAAATATCAATAACTTATTGGGTGAAACCTGAAATCTTTTGTTAAGAAATTTGCCCAGTAAGCAAAGTTACTGGTTAGTGTTACACTAGATCTTGGTTTTCAGTCCTTCTGATTAATTTATATCACAGGGTGGTGTGAAGCTCTTAAATTATGTATTTATAAAACACTTTAATTTACTGAAAGACAATGAACTAGTTAACTTTGAGCTCAATGGAAAATATAACCATATAACAAAATAATTCTGTACAATTTAGAAATTATTGTGATGTGAAAATAGAAAAAGCTCTCATTAACATACTAGATAAAGAAACATTCAACTGAAATGAAAGTGAATTGAGACTACATGACATCTTACACAGAAAATTTTTTAACTCTTAAAGATAAATATTACTGTATTAGAAGTGATGAGCAGGTTACTGAACTAACTATCAAACTTTACAGTATGAATTACCTTTCTGCTTTTAAAGTTTGTCACAAAAATTACAACAAAAAAACATATTGTTTGAAAAAATATATTACATGGTGTAATTAGTCTTATGGAATTGTATTCATCTAAAACTAATCCCCAAATATTTGTTACAAGTGAAACAGGAGGTTGTATTTAAGATAATATAGATTTTTGCTTTACAACCTTTTGCCTATAAATCAACATTATATTTGGAAAAAACAAATACAAAAACTCTAGAAAATGTATCCATGTGTGCAAAATAAATAGTGAACATAAATTTAAAAACAGGATTGATCTAAATCAATCAATCAGACTGTTAAATTCAGTTTTACATTATATCAGACAGAATTTCAAGATAATCTACTAAAACTTTAAATAATGTTAATGTAAGTTTTGCACAGGTAGTATATGAACATTATTGTTGTTGGAGAATACTTAAAACTTATTATAAACTGGAAACAAGGGTTCTAACAGTAACTGCTTCTTTTAGATTTACAAATATGATAACATTTTTTAATTTATATACAGATTTGTGTATAGCAAACCTAAATTTCACTCAGTCACCTCAAATTTTTGTATGAGTACTTCTACTTGAGTGCATAGTTGAGTACAAAGAAGATTCTAGAGTTATTCTTTTTACAAAATTTTAACTTATTAAACAAACTATTTTTATCCTATAAATTTATATCAAAGAACTTTTCAATATCACATTTTTTTATTTTTATGTATTACCAAGCTATGACTCTTAATCTTGTTTTCAACCAAAATCTGACACCAAGTATTAAATACACTAGTTGAAAGTTAACTAGTACTTCCAGTTACACTCACCAGTAAAAGAAATTTTTTTGTTTACAGAGAAAGTGGTATTTTTAATTTTTTGTATCACTACTTTACTGGAATCAAAAACTTGGCAGGTATAAGGGGAACCATTGATAGGCTTGCCCATGTATAGAATATCAATCTTGTGGCTACCTATTGGAATAAACAAGAAACAGCTGTATATTCTACACATCATTTATAGTAAGTCACAAGAAAAAATTTTTTTAATTTCAAATTATACAAGTCTTTTACACTCAAATGTTTTGTCTGACTAAAGTGACCCAGCTAATTTCTTTATAAAAACAATATAAAAAGCAAAACCCTATGACAAAATAACTGAAGATGAATTAATACAAGTATGAAATATCTTGAATTGTAGTTTAGTATATAAACTACTAATATTTATTAATACAATGTAATTAACATGAAACAAATAAAAAAGATACTTATAGCTAAACATAGAGCTTTTTTTTTCAGAATTCACACATGAAAGTTTAGATTTCAAAAACATACCAAACCATTACTAATAAGCTTAAAATTTGATGAAAACATGGTGGTCAATTATATTATTTAATTTTCAGTTAGGTACTGCCAAAAAATGACAGATTTTATTACATGTTGCTAAAATTTTCAAAGCATTATATATGATAGTAAAAAATAAAAAAATACTAAACATTTGGATGCATCACACAAAATAAAATCAACTACTGTATTCACACAATAAAATATAAATCTGTACAATATCTACTTAAAGATGGTCTTCTTGCCAATTTCAATTAATGTAAATTATAATTCTTTATGATTTGAGTAATATGAGATAAGCAGCACATTAACTGTGGTTTTAATTTTTTTTCTTACATACAGTTATTGAAACATACCATAATGTTCTGGTGTCCACTCTGCCAATAAACTTCCATCCCTCTGTTGGTAACACTTTACTGGCACAGGGGAGCCTGCAGGAGCTAGAAATATGATACTGTCATTGTTAAAACTTTTGGGTTTATTTAATCAAGACACATGTTTAATAATAAAATTATTAGAAAATCTACATTTACAATAAACTTATAACAAGCCTAGTTAAAAAATGTCCTATATCTCACATATGTTGTGCCAAGTAAAACTACATATAAGAAAACACCGGAATATCAGACTTTATTTCCTTTTATTAATTTCTTCTACTGATTTCGTGACTTCAAAGGTCACTCTTCAGGAAATAGTTTTACTGAGAATCTATAACAAAAAAAACATACAAATACACTTTTCAACAAAACATAAATAATCTAAATTAAGAACATATACTTTCCAAATGTAGAAACATATAATACAGTCCATGTATAAATTATTTAGATTACAAATGTTTAAAAATAAATAAAATTAGTCAATATCCTTTCCTTTTCAAATTAAAATCATATTATTATAATAGAAATGCAATTTATTTACCCTATAATTTCATACTTTTACTTGCTTTTTCTTTTCTGCAAATCTTAGTAACTGTTTTCACAGTTTCACAATTCTTATTGACTTTACACAACCAATTACTTCTGCACTCTTAATACTATCTATTTAAAATGGCTCCAAAAAAGTTTGTGAAATATTTTTCGAAAAATAACCTTTAATGTTTTACATTACATTCCCAAAAAGGGCAAACATGAATTCAAATTTTCTCAAGATACATTCATTAAAATGCTTACAAGCATATAGTGGAATTTTTTTGGGTGATGCAAGTAACACAGGAAAGAGGTATGGAATGAAAATGAATGCTAAGAAGACAAAGAGAATGCTGATAAGTAGACATGATAAGCCAGAAATTCAGATAAAATTAGAAGAAAAAGACATACAACAAGTAGAGAAATTCACATACTTGGGCCAGACCATAACAGGTGATGGAAAATGTGAAGCTGAAATAGTGAAGAGAATTGAGGTGGCAAGAGGTGCCTTTAATAGTATGAAAACAAACCTGATATCAAAGAGCATAAGACCAAAAACAAGGAAGAGAATCATAAAGTGATATATATGGTCAACTCTGTTATATGGCTGTGAAACATGGACCTTGACACAAGCATTAATTAACAAACTGGAAGCATTTGAGATGTGGGTGTAGAGAAAAATAATGAAACTATCCTGGATAGACAAGGTAACAAATGAAGATGTTCTTAATATGGTGAATGTGAAAAGCTATGTTGTACCAATCATCAAGAAGAGAAAAGTAGCATATTTTGGCCATATGATGAGACGTGACAAAATCCAGCGAGTTCTACTAGAGAGTCAAATAGAAGAGAAAAAGATAGATAGAGGAAGTCCAAGAACAGAGTGGATAACAAATATTAAAGAGTGAACTGAGAGAGCAAAATATGAAGACCTGGTGAGAAAAGCACAGAACAGACACAATTCACCACAATTTGCACACTTTAAAAGATATACTATGTTCTTGGAATTGGAATTAAACAAGTTATTAATTAGCAAAACAAAATTTGTTATTGTTTTGGTAGATTTCATATAACTTAAATTACATAAAGCACAGTATATATATATATCAGGGATGCACAGGTACCCGGCCAGACATTTGGCCCCAGTCGAGTATTGGGCTACCTGGTAATATTCAGCTGCAGCCAAGTGTCGAAGTTAAGCATCTAAGCCATAATCTTTGTGGCAACTAATGTGGTACTGAAAGTTACAGTCAATAATTGACCACTCACTGAAATTCAGGGAATTCAGAGAACAATAGGGGTTAATAACAGGCATGGCTTGAGAAGTGGATTTCTGGGGAAGGTGGGGGTTTTGAGAACAAATTTTACTACCTGTGCATCCCTAATATGTGTGTGTGTGTGTGTGTGTGTGTGTGTGTGTGTGTGTGTGTGTGTGTGTGTGT